GGGAAGGCGCACAAACGTGCCTCCTCCTCCTCTTCGTCCTCCTCCTCTTCGTTATCCTCCTGTTCCTTTCTCGCCTCCTCCCCCCCCAAAACAACGCGTGTTGGTTTTATAGGTGTGACCGTTTGGGCCATATTGTGGCCGTTTGGGCCATAGGGGTTACTACACAACGTCGCGTTCCGCACCCACGGCTACTTTCTTTGGCTCGCCTCTGGCGACTTGGCCAGTGCGCATGAGCCTTACCCTACAATCCTCAACCACGGTTTGTCTAGCGCCTTGTCGGTTTTGTCTAGCGCCTGGTCGGTTTCGTTTTCGTTTCCCCTCCCTTCTGCGCTGCTTGCGTGCGCCTCTCTCCCCCCCTCCTCTCGCCTCGTTTCCTTCCTTGTTGTTCCCTTGTCGTCGTCGTTGTCGTGTCCTCCGGGCGCCGGGCGCCATTGCGACAGTATTTCAGTTTTGCAGTGTGGATCTGAGTTGTGGTACGTCATGTATAGGATGTTGCACGCTGGAAAAATGGAAAGAGCCCCCGCCTCCTCATCCCCCTCCCTCCTCTGACTGAAGGCCGATGAGTACGCAGCTTCTTCTAGGATGGTGAGAAGAATGAAGGAGCACGACACAAGCGCAGGGTTGTTGTGACGTCTGGGGTCTCCGCCAACCGCCACCCAGGACGTGCAGAGAGGCCACGGACCCAAGACAGAAACGGGTCCAAAGGCCTCCAGTGGGCAAGGCCAAGAGGGAGATCAATCGCCTCTTCGCTCATATGTTTGAGCCCGCCCCTGCACCACACATTGCACACCGAGTCCGCTAACAGGCGGTACAGGCAAACGGGGAAGCCGACACACAAACTCTCCTGTTGCATCTGCTCCCTGCAGTCGTACCCATGGTCCCCGTTGCACCTCCATCCCCCCTCCGCACGCATCCTGGTCGATAAAGTCGGAGCTGAGCTCGCCACGATGCAGAGAGCATCCCACACAGTCCTATGGGTTATGGCGCACAACTCACATTTAGACAAATGGACCTGAGGCAGGGAGACAAGGGCCGAGAGGAGAGGAAGGTCGTCGAATCCCATTATTTGTCCAACCTGCTTCTCAGCAGCAGTCAGCCATGGGATACCCAGGGCACAAGCATGAGCGCACACGCTCCCCTCCTCCTCCTCCTCCTCCTCCTCCTCCGCCTCCTCCGCCTCCGCCTCCTCCTCCTCCTCCTTCTCTTCCTCCGACTCCTCCTACTCCTCCTCCTCCTCCTCTTCGTCCTCCTCTTCCTCTTCGTCCTCGTACTCCTCCTCCTCCTCATCCTCCTCCTCCTCGCAAGCTCTCGGCTCGAGCACGCGCGCGGAGAGCGCGCGTCTCGGGCCAGCTTGCGATCACGTGCTGGCGTGGGTCGGAGCAGCTCAGCGTTGCACCGTGACTGCGCCCCGTGCCCGAGAGGGGCCTCAGCCGAGGCCGCAGAAGTTTCGCAGGTATGTCTTACTATTCTACGGCTACACGAGCGAGCTGCCAGACAATGGCAGGTGGTGCATTGGGCGTGGCTGCGCGTGCTGGCCGAGCCGCTGCGGCGGCTGGGCGGCGCCGCTGCTAGGCCGCGTGCCCCACTGCTGGTCGGAGAGCGCCTCGTCGGCGGGGGCCGCACCTGATGCGGCCAGTGCGCGAACTGAGGGGCCGATGGCGTGCGCTTTGGGCAGGAGGAGGAGGAGGAGGAGGAGGAGGAGGAGGAGGAGTACGAGGACGAAGAGGAGGAGGAGGAGGAGGAGGAGGAGGAGGAGGAGGACGATGGCGCGCACTGATGGTCCCAGTGCGGCCGATGGCGTGCGCTTTGGGCAGGAGGCCCTCGACCTGCTCAGGGGCACGCCTGCTGGTGCGCGCGAGGTGCCAAGCGCGGCCGCCGCGACTCGGTGGCCGACCGCGCCCGCGCCAGCCACGGGCGCGGCGCGCGCAGGCCAGACCGCCGCGGGCGCGGAGGCAGCCGCCGCGTGCAAGGCCCAGGGAGCGCCGGCAGCCTGGCAGGGTGCGAGGTCGGGAGCGCCGGCAGCTTGGCAGGTGCGTTGGTCGATGCGGCCTTGCGCCACCGAGCACACGCGCCACTACTCGCAAAGTGCCGACCCGCAAACGTCAGAAACAAAGAAACAGAACAACAAAAAAAGCATGGATTCCATGATGCAATGGATCGTAAATCCCCCGCGGCGGATCCAGGCCACTTGCGAGCAGCTAACTTGCGAGTAGTGGAACGCGCTCGTCGATTGCCTGGGGCAGGGGTGCAGGGGTGCTCCTCCCCGCTGGCCGATGCGGCCCCTGCCCCACGGGAGCGGCTGCGAGCTGCTGGGCCGTCGGGGCCAGCAGTTCGGGGGGGAGCGAGGCCGGGGAGCCCGCCCCCGCTCCGCGTGCAGGACGGCAGGCGAAAGGGCAGCGGCGCGGCCGCCCAGCGAGGCCTGCAGCGCGCTGGGCGCTGGCGGGGGCAGTGGCTGCGCAGGGCGCCCGCGACTGGGCTCGGCAGAAGTCCCACTACTCGCAGGGTGCCTACTCGCAAACGTCCGGAAGAGAGATGTCTCCCTCTACTGGGACCCTAGACCCCCGCAGCGGATCCCGGCCAGTTGCGAGCAGGTGCTTTGCGAGTAGTGGAACGCGCTTGCCTAGAGGAGGAATCGCGAGCCCGCTGGGAGGCTGCCGCGGCAACGGTGAAGTGGCGCGCGCAGGGGCCGCTGGCCAGGCGAGCTCGCGCCCCGCAGCCTGCGGCAGCGGAAGAACCCGCGCAGCCGGGCCCGCCGACCTCGCTGCAGGTGAACAACTGCCGCAGCAGCGGAAGAAGAAGAAGAAGAAGAAGAAAGAAGAATAACAAAAGAAGAAGGAGAAGAATAAGAAAAATCAGAAGAATACGAAGAAGAAGCAGCAGCCGACCAAGCGGTCGAAGGGGGCCGCCGCGCGCGGGGCGCAGCCCGTCTGCCGTGGCGCCGCGAAGCTGCCGGCGCTCGTGCCGCAGGGCGCCGCGGCTGCCTCGCCCCACGGGCCTGCGCAGAGGCCGGCCCCGCTGCGGGCCGAGCCCCGCCCCCGCCGGCCCCGCGCCAGCGCAGCGGCCGAGGGAGCCGGGGCCCTCCTCCTCCTCCTCCTCCTCCTCCTCATCCTCCTCCTCCCTCCTCCTCCTCCTCCCCTCCTCCTCCTCCTCCTCCCTCCTCCTCCTCCGCCTCCTCCTCCTCCTCCTCCTCCTCCTCCTGGAGCCGGCGCGACCGCCTTCGCAGGAGAGCGACGGTGCCGAGGCCGACGGCGGCCAGGACTCTTCGGCTCCTGCTGCTCGAGCAGAGGGCGGCAAGGAGGCCTGCGCGGAGGAGAAGGGGGCAGCGCGAGCCCGACGGCGAGGGCGAGCAGCAGGACAGCCACAGGGGCGACCGGGGCAGGCACTCCAGCGCCAACGGGGAAGAGGTGAGCAACGGCGACGCGCTGAAGGGCAAGGCGCGGTGGGGGGCCGCACAAACAACCCCCGCGTGGCGCGCGCAGAGGAGGCGCGCGGACCAGCTCGGCCCCACGGCGGTGGAGGTGGCCCTCGTGCAGCAAACGCTCGTGACGATCGCCGCCGGAGAGGCGCGCACCACGGTGGCATCCATGCAGGAGGGCCTGGCCGAGGCGGCCGCTGAGAAGGCCCGCGCCCTGCCGAAGGCCAATGGCGTCGTGGCGCAGCTCATCCTCGACGGCGTCGAGCAGCGAGCGGGGATCACCCTCGGCGCCCTTGACGGGACAGAGCGGGCGCCTGTCCAGCATCGCGGGGGCTGTGTGCAATGGCCTCGGCACGGCACACCTGGTGCAGAAGTGGATCGAGATCCTCTCGGCTGCGCGCAGGGCGAGCGACGCGCGCATCGACGAGCAGAGCAGCGCCTACCGTGAGAAGGCGGAGGCGTGCGCGGCCGCAAAGACGGCCTGCGCGGCTTCGCAGACGGCCGCTGGCCTGCAGGGTAGAGAGCCTGCGGGCAGCGCGACGGTGCGGGAGCTGTGAGAGGTCCACCGCCGCGCTCTCGCTCCCTGGGGAGAGCCCCGCCGCCCGCGAGCGACTCGCGCCGCCAGCCGCGCCGAGCCGCGCCCGCAACGGGCGGCAGCGAGGCTGGAGACTGGTCGGGAGGCGCGATGCGCGACCCCCCGCCCCCAAGCATCGTCCCAAGCAACGTCCTCCTCCTCATCCTCCTCATCCTCTTCCTCCTCCTCCTCTTCCTCCTCCTCTTCCTGCTCCTCCTCCTCCTCCGCCTCCTCCTTCTCTTCTTTCTCCCACTACTCCTCCTCCTTCTACTCCTCCTCCTCCTCCTCCTCCTCCTCCTCCTCCTCCTCCTCCTCCTCCTCCTCCTCCTTACGCAAGCGGCGGTGATGTGGGCTGAGGAACGTCCCGCCCGCGCGGGGGGGGGGGGCGGCCCAGACTTCGACAGACTCGAAAACATTGTGGCTGCGGCTGTTTCGCAGTCTCTACATTTAGAGGCTCTCTTCGGGCCGTGAACACGAACGACTCGGGTTTACAAGCCACTCCCAGGGAAGGGGTCCAGGCTTCGAAGTTCGAACATACCGAGGTTAGGTTTTCGCCCCCCCCCCCCCCCTCCTCCACCTATGGCCTTTTGCTTCCCCCCCAAGTTTGTGGACGAGAAATCGGAGGTCAAGGGAGGCAGGCGAGAGAACGACTGCAGAACAGAATGTCCAGACACGTTCGGACGGGGGCGGCGAGGCGGCGGGGCTGGGTCCCGGAGCGCTGGGGGGCATTCCTCCGCCGAGATCGTTGCACGGCAAGGTGGCCATCAGTGATCGTCGACGGTGCTTCAAGCGACACCGAGCCACAGAAGCAGGCGCAAACTCGCAAAGAAGACCTCCAGGAGAAGCGCAGAGTAAGCCCAGTGAGATGCACCACCGCTTCACGATGGCGGCCCAGGTCATCACCATCGTCGTCATTACCACTGCCATTATCTGACCTAGGTAGCGTTGGCTCAGGAGGATGGCGCGTAGCTGCCACCTGCTTCTTCAACGGGCTAGTTGACTGCCGGCCAGATGGCTGCGCCAGATGATCGCAGCCAGATGACCGAATTCCAGGCGGGAGACCTCGGCAGCGAGGTGCTCCGGAGATCCTCCTCCTCGCGCATCCGGACGAGCGTTTTCCAGGTGAGCAGGCGTCACAAAAGTCGTCGCCTTCGAAGGCGTCAGAGGGTGACATCTTCTCCTCGGCAGAAGGGGGCGGAAGCAGAATGGGGGCCCCCGCAAGACGGCCGTGGAATTTAGCGGAAGTAACATGCAGTTCTGTGCACACACGTATTTGGGTTCAGGGTTGCCAGAGTTGGCTAGGTGGGGGACCTCGTCCAGAATCTGTCGGTGATCACCGTGCGCAGAGGCGAGAGCCTGGACAGCGAGATCCTCGAGGAGGACCTGGAGAGCGGGACGTTGATGAAGGTGTTGACGGGAAGACGAAAGCGTACATCACTGCAGCTTTCGATCTGCGTGGCAGATGGACAGAAGCAGTTGACGCTAGTCAAGCTTGTTCGCTTACCTCGGTTTGTTCAGCCTGGAAGGTGTTGGAATTGGGCGTGGGCCGCCGCCTGCACATCGTCACCGCCGACGGCGAGCTGAGCGGCTGCCGCGGGAGAAGCCAACTGCACGCCCGAGTTGAACACAATCTTGGCCAGAGTGTATATACAGCAAGCACGGCGAACTCCGGATTACGTTGGGCTCGGTAGGGGCTCTGGTGTTCGGGCCGATTCTTACAAGTTCTTCCAGCCGTTTCGTAGACGAGGCTCGCTGGCCCGAGAAGCCGTTTCGTTCCTGATCCAGTGTACCATCTGGTGGCACGATGACTGTGCATACCGTCCTGGCCAGGCTGGGGGGGTACATGTACTACACGACAGATTGGGGTCGTGTCGACACGGCGGCGACCCCAGCGCAGGCTTTTGAGGTCGAGGGCTGGCAGTGGCCTGGAATCGGCCGACCTCGAGCGATGTGCGCCGTCGTACAGTCAACGCGCACAGCAAGGACGCGCGCCCTTGTGCCCTTGCCTCTGCGGCCCGTCCTTTGCCGCTTCCACGGGCCAGCCTCTCAGGCCGCCGCCCAACAAATCCCAAGCTTCGGCCTCCAAGGGTCTTGCGTCCTTGCCACCCGTCCTTACTATACGCTGTCACCGTAAAGCCGCGAGCACTTGAGGCTGAACGATCCACGTGGTGTCGGAACTTCCGTCGGCCCGCGTGCGGCTCGCACCATTTGGGGCCGTGGGCATCTCCATTTCAGGCCGGAGCTATCGCGCTCGAGACGGGGCTCACGGAAATGAAGGAGTATGTGTGAGGCTCCGTGCGCTGTTTCACACACCCTTTGGAGCATTCATCTCGCACTGTGCATTATTGATTCCGTTGTGGCGCTGCCGCTGCCTGCTGCCGGGGAAGCACCGGGGACGCCGAGGCACCACCGTCTGCCAAGAAGGAAACGAGAGCTAGAAACACTATCTCGGTTGAGCCCTGACCGACCTTGCGCGCCGAGGAGGGGCACGATATGGGGCGCTTCAAAAAGGGCCTCGCCTTCGAGGATAGAAGGAGTTGCCATCTCTTCCTCGGCGGACGCCGGCGGAAGGCTGGCGGAAGGCCGGCGGAAGTAAAACGAGGCCGCCTCCGCCGGCGGAAACCGGCGGAAGCCGGCGGAAGCTGGCGGAAGTTGGCAGAAGGGCGGCGGAAGTAAAGGATGTACCCTCAAGAGATGAAAACGTTTTTTGGGTTCAGGGTTTCCGAAATCGCCCAGACAGGGCCCGGAATAAGCTGGGCGAGAGAACGCCTGGTGGGAATGGCGGCTCCCAGGGCGGATTCTTTTCGGGGATCATCCGTTAAAATTGGAACAATACAGAGAAGATTAGCATGGCCCCTGCGCAAGGATGACACGTGCAAATCGAGAAGTGTACACAGACAAAAACAACAAAAATGCGGCTCCCAGGGCCCCGGGGGCAGAATTACCCACCCTGCGCGCCGGGGAGGAGGGGCCGGGCCAGGACCTCTGCGGGCCCCCCCCCCGCACGCCCTCCCACACGGAGGCCGCGGGTCCCGGCGGCGAGCGACGGGGGGGGAGCGCGAGAGGCGGCGGGCCCTTTTCAGAAGCGGCGGCGAGCGAGGGGGAAGGCCCTCGCGGAGGGCGGCGGGGCTCCTCGGGAGCCCACGCGCCCTCCGAGGGGAGCTCTCCTGCGACTCCGGGGAAGGCGCAGGGCACTCCTCAGGAAGGCCCCCGGGGGGGGGGCTTCCGGTCCGTCCGAGAAGGCCCGCCCCTTCTCGCTTCCCCCCCGGGGCGCGCCGCCGAGCGAGGGGGGGAAGCGAGAGGCGGCGGGCCGTCTCGGAAGGCCCGGATGTCCCTGGCCGCATGGCGCCAGTGCCGCCGGACCGTCGCCGATGCTGCATGGAAAGGGGCCCCGCCGCTCAGCCCGCGCACCTGCATTCAATGCTTGGACTTCCGCGGCAAGGGTCGGCGGCCAGCCCGGGGGAAACTGAGGGGGGGCGGGCCTTCTCAGAAGGCTCGGAGGTCGTCCTGAGCCTTCTGAGGAGTGTTCAGCGCCTTCCCCGAAGGCACAGAGAGCTTCCCAGAAGGGCGGATGGCTTCTGAGAAGCCCCGCCGCCTTCTGAAGAGGCCTTCTCCTTTTCACTTCCCCCCTTCGCCCGCCGCCGACTAGGGGTCGACACCCACACCAATATCGGCGGTGTGCCTCCTCCACCGAGGGAAGATGATCCCGATCTCGGTGATGGTGGTAATGTCCGGGCTTCCTAGGTGGCCGAAAGATTTACCACCAGCACCTCTGTCGGGCTTTATCTCCCCCTGTTGGCGACAACACCCTGTGATGGTCTTGGTGCCTTGTTTCCAAGCCTCCAAAACTATGCGAAACCCAGATTTCTCGGGGTGGCATTCCAGATTGAGCTATGGGCTGTTGTGGTTGGATAGGGGCCCCCGCTGGAACGGGAGCCCCCCTCGGGATTCGACGGCGAGCACCCAGACCCATCGCGAGCTCTTCGCCCTGCCTCTCCCCACTGCTCATCCCTATGGGCTTGCGCGTGTGGCGCTCTTTCCCCCGAGGGCTGAAGAGGCTCGACCTCAACAGTGCTTGGACGATTTACCCCAAAATTCATTTTCCGGCTGAACCTACCAAAACTTGTGCATAGTGCCCCATGTAATCCTACGATGGTTCGACGCGTTTCTTGCGTATGCGCCGGGGGAAAACCAATTCGGGAGCAAATCAATTCTGTAGTCGATCCCCTATTCGGGCGCTGGCGGCAGCCGCTGCTCTTGCCGCGGCCCCGCGGTGCCTCACCGCCCCGGCCTCCCGCCCCCCTGGCGCTGCCTCGGCCGCTCGCCTCTCGCTCGCCGCCCCGCGGCCGCCCGTTGGGCGACCCCCGAGGCTGGGAATCGGTCGGGCATGTCCCCCATACAGGCTGATTTGGACGAGAGACCCAGAATACTCCCAAACAAAATGCAGCCATGGCCCGAAAAAAAAAAGTACCAGAAAGATCCTCCCCACATCAGTTTGTTGGGGGTCGTTTTCTCGAGCGCTCCTGTAGAGGGACACGCCCGACCCGAGGCTGGGTCAGCACCGAGACCGCGAAGAAGAAACCCCTCCTCGAGCCAGCCCCCGCCGCGCCCTCTGGCGCCCGCGCCGCCCCGGCGGCGGGAGGCGGCGCGGCCTCCCCGGCCGCCGACGCGGACCTGGAGGAGCACCCTCCACTCGACGACGACGAGGGCGAGGGCGACGACGACGACTACGACGACGACGACGACGACGACGACGACGACGACGACGACGACGACGACGACGACGAGAGGGACGAGGCTCTCCTTCTCCTCCCTCCTCCTCCTCCTCCTCCTCCTCCTCCTCCTCCTCCTCCTCCTCCTCCTCCTCCTCCTCCTCCTCCTCCTCCTCCTCTTCCTCGTCGTCCTCCTCCTCCTCATCCGCATCTTTTTCATCCGTCTCCTCCTCCTTCCTCCTCGTTCTCCGTTCTACGAGGGCGAAGAGTGCGAAGAGAAGGGCGAGGCTCTTCTCCTCGTCCTCCTCCCGTCTCCTCCGACCCCGACCCGGAGGCGCTCTCCACTCGACGACGCTCGCCACCAGGGGTCCTGAGGGGAACTCAGAGGCATCCAGCGCCAGCCGGAACGCCTCTGGAGGACCAAAAATGGGCGAAGAACGCCCAGAAATGTCGATCCTCCTCCGTCGTCCCCGGACCTCCGACGTCGCTCTTCTTCACGGCGTGGATCTTCAGGGCATGGTATCAACCCTTCCCCCAGGGCCAGCCTTTCGTCCTGAGCAGGTGTTTGACAGCCCCAGGGCCCAGCGAGGGCTCCTCAGTGTCCGAAAACGGCGAAAAACCTCCGCATTGAATTGTTCAATACGTGGGAGATCTGGGCTCTCCAGGGGTGCGCTTTGACGAGAATTTCGAGGCGGATCCTGCCGCGTTCAGGACAGCCCTCCCAGATGCCATCACACGCACACATCCCTCCAAATGGTTACTACAGCGACCTCTCGTGGACAGCGCATGCTTGCTTGCGTGAGGCACATGGCTAACGACGCATGTTGTGGCTACTCGGCATCGCGCAAGCACGAAGAATGTCATCTCCACAAGAGTAGCAATGTAAGTGGCAGGGTCACAACCAAACCAGAAAAATAAGTGTGAAGGACAAGCACTGGTTTGCTGACGGTCCCAGGGCCCAGGAAGGGCCCTTGGAGGCAGACACTTGAGAAGAAGTCATGTGTGCATGTTGTTATATGTTTGAGGTCTGGGTTCTTGGTGGTGTTCGAGCTCGGGCATCCGGCGGCCGTTCGAGACGATGATTCTGGGCACCCCCGGGAACGCTCTCGGGAGAGCACCCCGAGGCTGGAAACAGGAAAAAACCGCTGGGAACACGAAAACGTCCAAAATGTCGAACCCCGACCCTCTAGGCCTCCTAGATGGGGTCGGAGCAGATGGGGTCGGAGGATCGCACCGCATCGCCGATGCATCGGCGATGCGGTTCGATGTGGAACCCGATCTTCTCCACGCCGATGGCGCCGATACTTCGCCGACGTCGCCGAATGCATCGCTGGTGCAGCGCCGATGCATCGCCGATGCATCGCCGATGTATCGGTGGTGCGGCGCGATCCTCCGACCCCATCTACTCCGACCCAATCTAGGAGGCCTTTACCACAGAGGTCTCGATCCCTTGGCCTGGTTTTCCATCCCGGATCGTTTGTGTATGGTTCCAGGGCCCAGTAAGGGCCCGTGGATGCCGAAGTCGGCGACAATAAACTACCAGCTAGATGTTAAGAATACGTCTGAGGTCTGGGGTTTTGGTGGCGTTCGGGCCGTCGCTCCCAGAAACGCTCTCGGCGAGGCGCAGCTGCTTGAATGCATCCCAAGGCTGGAAAACCTCCGGGAGCTTACGCAAACGTCCATGAACGTCGAACCCCGAGCCCGCGATCTTTTCCCAACGTGGACCCCCAGGGGTCTCGATTCTTTTCCCCGGGGCTGGCGTTCCATCCCGCGTCGTTTTCTGACGGCCCCAGGGCTTGGCCCGGGTCCGCAGGAGCCGAGAGATGCACAAAAAAAATCCCTCGTGTCATTTATGCTCGCGACGAGAGAAGGTATGGGCCCTTCCTCGAGTGGGCCCTGGAAACTGCAAGGTCTTAGTTTACCGTCTTCAAGCAAGTGTCTCTTGAGAGTGAGAAGGCCGAGAAGAAAAATACAACTACAACCAATTCTATAGCAATCCCCATCAGAAACTTCGGCGCCTGTCCTTCTCCTCCTCCTCTTCCGCCTCCTCCTCCTCCTCCTCCTCCTCATCCTCCGTCCTTCCTCCTCCCTGCCTCCTCCGTCCTTCCTCCTCCCTCCCTCCTCCTCCTCCTCTTCTTCCTCCTCCTCCTCCTCCTCCTCCTCCTTCTCCTTCTCCTTCTCCTTCTCCTTCTCCTCCTCCCTCCTCTTCCTCCCCCTTCTCCTCCTCCTTCTCCTCCTCCGAACTGTCATGCTCGCACTTCCAAATGCTGCGCTACCCCCCCCCCTGCGACTGCACCCCCCCTGCCCTAGCCAGTCTTTCCGCGGGGCTGGCGTTCCATCCCGCGTCGTTTTCTGACGGCCCCAGGGCTTGGCCCGGGTCCGCAGGAGCCGAGAGATGCACAAAAACATCCCTCGTGTCATTTATGCTCGCGACGAGAGAAGGTATGGGCCCTTCCTCGAGTGGGCCCTGGAAACTGCAAGGTCTTAGTTTACCGTCTTCAAGCAAGTGTCTCTTGAGAGTGAGAAGGCCGAGAAGAAAAATACAACTACAACCAATTATTTGGTTTCGAGTAACCCCCATCAGAAACTTCGGCGCCTGTCCTCCTCCTCCTCTTCCAGCTCCTCCTCCTCCTGCCCCTCCTCCTCTCCTCCTCCTCATCCTCCGTCCTTCCTCCTCCCTGCCTCCTCCGTCCTTCCTCCCTCCCTCCTCCTCCTCCTCCTCCTCCTCCTCCTCCTCCTCCTCCTCCTCCTCCTCCTCTTCCTCCTCTTCCTCCTCCTCCTCCTCCTCCTCCTCCTCCTTCTCCTTCTCCTCCTCCTCCTCCTCCTCCTCCCTCCTCCTCCTCCTCCTCCTCCCTCCTCCTCTCCTTCTCCCTCCTCCCTCCTCCTCCTCCCTCTCTCCCTCTTCCTCCCCTCCCCCTCCCTCTCCCTCCTCTTCCCCCCCTTCTCCTCCTTCTCCTCCTCCGAACTGTCATGCTCGCACTTCCGAATGCTGCGCTACCCCCCCCCCCCTGCAACTGCACCCCCCCCGCCCTAGCCAGTCTTTCCCAGGCGTCGGGCACCCGCCGGCAGGGGAGCCGCCGCCGCCAGCGCCGATGTGGCCTGAAGCGGGAGCAAGTCTGACGTGTTGCTGTGTCGCGTGCTCCTCCTCCTCCTCCTCCTCCTCCTCCTCCTCCTCCTCCTCCTCCTCATGTTTCTGTCCTCCTCCTCCTCCTCCTCCTCCTCCTCCTCCCCTCCACCTCCTCCTCATGTTCTGTCCTCCTCCTCCTCCTCCTCCTCCTCCTCCTCCTCCTCCTCCTCCTCCTCCTCCTCATCTCCCCCGTCATGGCCTTTCCTGTCGTGGTATGTTCGGTCACGCTCCGTCATGCTTCTGTCCTGGTCTGCGCGGTTCTGTGCAGTTCTGCCAGGCTTGTCGAGGGCGCGGGTGGCGGGATACTCGGGGGACACCCGGTGGACCTGGGGATCTGGCGGCAGCGGTGTGCAGGGTGTGCCAGCCGGTCGGGAGGTCTATTCTTCAAATCTAACGACCCCAATCTGTCGTGTGGGGAAAATGGTTCACCGCAACGGTCCCCAAAAGAACGGTCCACCGAAACGGCGTGGGCAGCCCAGGGATCCGAAGGACGTTCGGAACCGATTCAAAATCGGCTCGGCTGCGGTAACGAAGCGTGTGATTTGGACCAGGCCGCCACCACGGGAAACGAAACGAACGGTACAACAACGGCGCCAGAAACGGCAAAAAGTCGGCGCCCGAAATTGAACAACGACGACGTAAAAATTCTTCACGCTTCGCGTATCCCCACCAGCCCATCTCAAAACAGCAGCTCTTGCGAAGCATGCCGACAGTCGTGTTTTTCAGGCGTGTTTCCGCCTGCCCCCGCATATCTCCGGGCCTCTCGTCCTGGTGTGAGTCGTTCGGGCCCTTCTTCCTGGTGTGAGTCGTTCGGGCTCTTCGTGGTTTGAGTCGTTCGGGCTCTTCGTCCTGGCGTGAGTCGTTCGGGCTTCTCGTGGTGTGAGTTGTTCGGGCCCTTCGTCCTGGTGTGAGTCGTTCGGGCTCCTCCTCCTGGTGTGAGTCGTTCTGGCTCCTCGTGGTGTGAGTCGTTCGGGGCCCGCGTCCTGGTGTGAGTCGTTCGGGCTCCTCGTGGTGTGAGTCGGTCGGGCGCCTCGTCCTGGTGTGAGTCGTTCGGGCCCCTCCTTGTGGTGTGAGTCGTTCGGGCTCTTCGTGGTGTACGTCGTTGGGGCCCCTCGTCCTGGTGTGAGTCGTTCGGGCTCCTCGTGGGGCCTCTTGGGGGCTGCTTGGGGGCGTCTTGGGGCCTCTTGGGGGCCTCTTGGGGACCTCTTGGGGGTATCTTTGGGGCCTCATGGAGGCGTCGTGGTGCCTCCTGGGGACCTCTTGTGGGCCATCTGGGGACCTCTTGGGGCCATATGGTGGACCTCTGGGGGCCTTCTTGGGAGGCTTGTATGAGCGCTGCCCCTCCTCCTGGTGTGACTCGTTCGGGCTCCTCGTGGTGTGAGTCGTTCGAGGCCCGCGACGTGGTGTGAGTCGTTCGGGCTCCTCGTGGTGTGACTGGGTCGGGCGCCTCGTCCTGGTGTGAGTCGTTCGAGGCCCGCGTCGTGGTGTGAGTCGTTCGGGCTCCTCGTGGTGTGAATGGGTCGGGCGCCTCGTCCTGGTATGAGTCGTTCGGGCTCCTCCTTGTGGTGTGAGTCGTTCGGGCTCTTCGTGGTGTGAGTCGTTCGGGCCCCTCCTCCTGGTGTGAGTAGTTCGGGTCCCCCCTCCTGGACAGAGTCGTTCGGGCCCCTCCTCGATGTGTGAGTCGTTCGGCGAGGGGCCCGAACGACTCACACAAGGAAGAGCCCGAACGACTCACACCAGGGCGAGGGGCCCCAACGACGCACACCACATGCATTCTGGTCCAGGACGTCGCCGTCGTGTGAG